ATAGGTAGGTACCTATAGGCTATAATAATAAATTCCAAATTAATCATATCACAATATCCACTTAGGGTACTTATAATGCGTTATAGGTACATCAACAAAAAACCATGATACTATCATAGATATAAAATAGTACTGTACTTGACATTTGACATCTAATAATATATGCAATTTATATATAATATTTACTATTTAAAACTATAAAACTTAGTAGTAAGTAATATATAGGTATATCACAAAAATAGAATTTATAAGTAGGTAATTACATTTTTTAAAAAATAATTGCATTTTGGTTTGTTTCTTTTTGTCCATATTTTGTAGAGTATAGAAATCAGTTTATAATTTATAAATTTTATTAGGTAAGTACATTTGCTGTATTTGTAAAAAACACATTTAAAGCACATTATATTTATGTTAAAATATTTTATAATTATATATATTTTTGTAAAAACTAAAATATCGAAATAAAATACTACGTTTCTTAATAATATTTAGCTCAGATATGACGTCAAACTACAGATACCTATAGTAAATCTAATCTTTGGTTAGAATGGCAAAAAATAAAATTGTCCCACCAAATTCCTCAAGTTACGCCATAGTGGGATACCTACCTATCAATGTAAAACATTATAAAGCTTCGCACGACGCTGTTGAAAGCTGTCAGTACCATGGTTCATTTGTACACACAATTATCCAACGGGAAAAAGCTGAAAACTCTCTCAACATGACGAACGTTCAACATTTTATAATTTTAGTAGTATTTTATACTTTTAAAAATTGGAGTTGTGCTGAATACGTTCCACTGTCGACTTCTTGTGACAGGTAAAATAAGTCTTATATTATATTTTTATTATCTTTTAATTCCGTCAATTACGTTTATTTGGTACAAATGGCAATTCACATATCGATGGTAAGAGGACAAAATAATTTTGTGTTTTTATTCTTTTTTTTTTTTGGTGGTATAAGTACATATTATAAATTAATATTCTAATTTATTTTTTTTTTTTTAAATTTAAATGGCACTGGTTAGAAATGGAAATTATTTTTTTTTCGCCATGGACATGGTACTTACCGGGTTTGTTCATCGGGACATACTAATAATATTGTTAATTTAAATAGTACTTGAATTACCTAGTTAATGTTATAAATAATTATAGTTTACTTAAGACAAATTAATTTGATAAATCAAATTAAATAAATGTATAATTGTTAAATCATTATAAAACCAAAAAAAAAAAATTAGAATTTTTTAGAAAATAAATTTAAAAAAAATTTTTTGTGTGAATTAAAACCTGTCTTTAATAATATTTTATGATAATAAAATATATCACATGTTTAAATGTAAAAATTATAAATATCTATCATTTATAAGCTATTAGTAATAAACTTATAATAACTTATATAATTGTATTCAAATAGTGTATGCCAAATTCTGAAAAAAAAAAATTATTTTATCAACACCTCAATAAAATTGTAATAATAACAAATAAAAATAAAAATCATACTTCACTCTTAAGGCTGTCGGAGCAGACAATTTGGAATATTAGCATTTTATTATATAAGATATATGGAATAGGTGTCTATATACAATTGGACGTTAATGTGATAGAGATAGGTTACCTATGGTTACAACTTAATATAATACATATATAATATATTATATAATTGAAAAATTATATTTGTTTTTTGAATACTGATTTTATGAATAATTCTGATTTTAAGGCTTGTGAAATTAAAAATATTTTTTCTCCATAGGTAACCTAGAAAAAAACTTATAATAATCATAGGTACTTAAATGTAGAATAGTAATTGGACATCCCGGGAAGTACGCAAACATAAAATAATATATCAATTTTGACAATAGTTTTAGAATACAATTAGGTAAGGTATTTTAATATAGGTATAGGCATTTTGTATTATACTGTAAAAACTCTTATGCTGGGTTGCATGAAATATTGATTCATTTAATCGTTCAATAAAATTTAACCAATCAACCTCGGGCCACTAATTCATGTTTAAGTAACAATTATCCCACTATTGATTAAATAAATGTTTATTCATTGTTCATGCAATCCGGCATTAATACTTACAAAAAAAATTAAACATAAATATCTAATTAATATTCATGTGAATATATACAGTGAAATCTCGGTAACTCGAATCGGTTGGGGTTGAAAAAAATAATTCGAGTTATAGAAAAATTGTGTGTACTTATTCAAATGCAGGGGCGAAGATATTCCTTCGAGTTATTGAAAATTCAACTTATATACGTTCGAGTTATCAAGGTTTCACTGTATTTATATCCTAAAGCAGGGGTCACCAACTGGCGAACCGCGAACACTTTTTTTACGGACACTTAACCACTGAAAAATTTAGTTTGAATAAATAAACAAATAAATATAAATACAAATTTAAAAAATGTATATACTTATTTATTAACTTGTGTAAAATACAATTTGTATAAATAAATAAGTATAATCACAAATTTATAAAATATAAATACTCATTTTATTAACGTGTGTAAAAGTCATTGAAACTATTTGATTAAATTAATCTAATGATTTTTTTTAATTCCATTGTATACCTAAAGTCAAATGATGTACCTATGTAAAAGTTTCAAGTCTTCACGATTATTATTTTTGAATCACAATAAATAATAAGTAATCTTCATTAAAAATCCAGTTTTGTCATAATTTTAAATTTAACTTGATTAAAAAAACTAAAAAAGAATATTGTTAAAATATTTTTGGTTAGATTTTTGGGTTTCATCTATGAGGAAATCCGTATTCCATTTTAATGCCTTACCTATACAAATTAAGTTTGTTATAATAATTTAATACAAAATAATTACATTTTTTTGAAATATTGACAATTTCTTTATAATTTAATCTTTGACGCACATAACAAAATATGGATACAAACGAATATATTCTACTCGTACCGAGGTATATAACTTGCTTAGTATTTAAAACAAAATTAACATTTTAAAAGGTGTTTATTACTCAGCATTTAAGATTAAGTTCAATGATTGAGATTTATTAATAATCAGTAATTTTATAAAAAAAAAAAAAAATTAAGTATAATGTCATATAGGGAGTCAATAATAGTTAATAATAATAATAATAAAAATATAAATTTATGAGCCAATAATTGAATATAATATTATATTACCAGAGTTTTCAATACTTTCATCATGAAATAATACTTTTTTAACTTTGATGCTATTGCGATCGGAACTTGTTTTGCATAATAATTGTGTATCATTGTTAAATGTTTCAACTGTCCAAGTCCCAACTGGAGAAGAAATGAATTGTTCTATTTTTTCAATAGATTAATATATAAAGATGGATATTTTTCAGATGCTAAACAATTAACACTGTCAATAACATTATTAGTTTCCTGTAAAATTAAAAATTTACTGTCATAAGTTTAAATATAGACTAACATATTACTTTAAGATTGTACTTATGCTTTTTTAGCTTAAATAATGAGGTAATTAATCAAACATAAAGCTATAGTTTTAATACAATTGTTAATAATGGTATAATATTATCTAATTTAATGAAAGATATATGAAAACTTAGTGTACCTATGTTATAATATAGTAATCGCTACAACATAGGACTTAAATAAAAGTCAATATTGGGCCGTATGCATAGTCATTTTAAGTAACACCTAACGGATTTTAGGTGACACCTAAGAGAATTCCCGTAACTTTGCAATGCATAGTCATAGTTATGGGTCTGCTGCTACATAAAGTAATCCGTAAAGTTAAGTGGTCAATATCCATCACCTAGCCATCCCGTAAATGTTTAATTTGATGTTATCATTAAACAAACCTATAATCTATATTATAACTTGTCGTTATATAATTGTATTATCAGGGCTTGAAACCGATTGAAATAATTTCGGTTTCGGTTTCGATTTTGAATACCGGTTTTGAAAATATTCGGTTTCAGTTTCGATTTTGAATATCGGTTATGAAAATATTCGATTTCGGTTTCAATTTTCAATACCGGTATTAAGACATTTCGGTTTCGGTTTCGATTTTGTATACCGGTATTGAGAAATTTCGGTTTCGGTTTCGATTTAAAATTTTTTTTTTATTTAAATTTTGAGTCAATATTCAATCAGTTTTAATTTACTAAAATGTTGATATCGATTTCGGTATTGAAATCAATTTCACATCCTACTTTTTGTCTAAAATTTGTTAAACAATAAAAGCTTCTTGACTAAATACTATAGTCATTAGTCATTACTAATAATAATATTAAGTATGTACTTAATAATGACTACCATAATGAGTAATATAGTATGGTTAGGTACTTAGGTTACTATGCCATCTATGGACTAGGGTATCTAAATTCTAAATATTAATACAGAATATTATCTTAATTCTTAATCTTTAATTATTAATGGTTGCATCAATACAGCCAAATAATAGTTTTTTATTAAATTCAGTCTTAAAATTTTTTAGGTAAAAAAAAAATATTGTAAAAATATGTAAGTTTTAACTTTTAACAAATTATTATAATTATATACACTATTGTCTATTATTATATAATTATATCAGTATCTACCTATTAAGTTTTTCTTAAGAGTTTTTAGTGAAAATTTAAATAATAATAATTAATTAAAATGTTACTTAAAACAATTCAAAAAGATATGAATGTATTCATATTAGATTTTAAACTTATAATTTTAACAGTTAATTTTTTGAAATTGATTTCTTATTAATGAATAGCAGATACATATGTCACACTAAATAGTCTAAATTAGCCTTTGACAAATTTGTTTTACCATCTAGAAGTTATATATATATATAGTCATATATATATCCAATTCCTAGAAATTCCAATATCAGAGTAATTTTGGCAACTTGTACAACATTTTATAGTAGTTACTATTGGATAAAATTGTGTAGGGCCACACAAAATAATTGTTTTCTTTATAAGTTTATTAAAATAAAACCTTAAACATAAATAACAATACAATTTAATCATTTAATGACATAATTTAAATTTTTCATTGCTTCTAACCAGCATAATTGCTTCTAAAAGTTCTGGATCTAATGAGGTTCTCAAATCAGAAACAACAAATTTCAATCCAGAAAAGCTCCTTTCTACACTGACCTGAAAATGTAATAGTACAACTTGTAGAAGTTCAAATATAATCACAAAATAAATATTATCGTAAGGTAAAACATAAATAATCATGTAAACCTGAGTCGCTGGAACTGCTAAGACTACACTTGCTAATTGATAAAGTTCTGGATCTGTTATTTGTCGTGTTTTCCAATATTGCAAAATATCGGCAGTATAAGAAATGCGCTCAACATTTTTAAAACCATTCAATATATTTAATATACTTTCAGAAGTTACTGTTAAGGACGAGGCAGACGAATTTGATGTAAGAGAAGCTTGTGATGATAAAAACTCTTCAAATGGATCTGTTGAGTCTTGGCTACTTTCAATAGTACTCTCAATGGTTGATTTATCATTAGCTGAAAATAAAGTTTAATACAGGATTAACTCAACTACTTTACTTAACAAATAACTGTATTATATAAAATTGTACAGATTATTCTAGAAATCAGCATATTTTTTTTTAAGTAAAAATTTATTTATTCCTATTTAAATGTCCAATAAAATAAAATATCAACATGATTTATTCAGAATTTCCATTATTTTATATTTAGTTTATATGAGAATAATATTCATATCACCTGCAGTGATGTATTTAAAATTTTAAAACAAAATTGTTGATAATTTATCCAGGAAGTAATTTAATGTATTAGTCCGTTAGAATTCTTAAATATTTAAAACATTTAACAACTAAACAATTTTAACATTTTTATTGAGTAAATAATTAATATGCATTCATTTTTTACCGGTAATTTCTGGAAATTCGTCAATAGGAGAGTCTCTATTCTTTAATAGAAGTAATGTCTCCCATGTTTCGACAAGACGAGTTATAGCTATTTGTTGTTGTTCAGGAGTTAATAAACACTGGTATCGAGGATCAACAAAAATCGCTAAAACAATATATGAATCTATTGTTATTATGTATGTTTAATTATTAATTTGATGTATTAGGTACCTGCTAAAAATGTGCTGTTTGATAAATAATTTTCCTGCATTCTTTTATCCATCAAAGATTTTATTTTTTTGGCTAATATGGATCCATTTGCGTTCAACCCATGAGTGGATTTTAACCAGATGGCATAAAAATCACCAATTGTTAAATTTTGTTTTTGCAATGCAAGTGTTGCAGTTTTCACTGGATGTAAAGCATTTACCTGAATAACATTTTTAAAAATTAACAAGTGCAAGTAATTACAGAATACATTTATAAACCAAAAAAAAATATATATATATATTATAAACAGATTAATTTGGCACCCAAAATAAGTATATTTATGATTAAAAGAAGACAATTAATATTTTAGAAATTAATATAATTAAATAATTAACTAACAACACTTTGTATAGAGTCCCATTCACAGTTTTTTAGATGTAGGTCTGGGTTAGTCTCCTCATGTGACAAACAGAATTCTTTGAGTTCTAATAACCTATAGAGCATGTTATACATTGAGTTCCATCTGGTCTCAATATCGATAATTGCATATTTTAAATTTTTCCTTTTCAGCCAACATGCATATTTGGGAGTTCTTAGTTTCTTTACAATCTATAAAATAAAATGTTTATGTATTAAATAACTAAGAAAATGGAGGATAAGAAATAGATATTTTAAAATTACCTCTCTAGCTTTGGGAATGCAATTAGATATGGCTGCTGATTTTATACCACCAAGTACACACAATTGTAATGAGTGTACAGAGCATCTAATACAGGATGTTATAGATTTAGGTTCCATAGCAGCAACAATAATTTCTTGTAAGTTATCTAGATATAAATCAAATTACAATATATTATTATTTGAATCACGAACAGAAAAAAACAAATAAAAAATACTATTATGTTCTAAAAACCAACCATGATCATCAACTTCTTCATTGAAAAGTTGATTTACTATATCATTTGATGATAATAATGTTCCGTCTTCAATGGCATATTCATCATCACTCTCATTTTCTTCTGAATCCACAAAATTAATCAAATCCTCTTCAATATGTGGTGCTTCAGCTTCACATTCATCATACATATTTACAATTTTACTTAACTTAACCATGTTTGAAGCGTTATCACATGTAATTGTAAAAATTTGTTCTTTTCTCATGTTGTAAATAGCCAATACATCAAAAAGCTAATATAAGAAATACAATATAATTAGTACACAATATGATAAAATGCTATGTTAATATAAATTAAGTATACCATTTTTTTTAAGTTTTGAGCAGTGTGCTGTTCGTTAATTTCCCTCATTGCTAGGGTAGCCAAACAAACATTCATGTTTTTTATGAACTGAATATTAACTCCCATTATGGACCGGTTATGACGTTTTACACAATCAATTTTCAAGCTCACTAAACTATTTTTGATATTTTCTGTTATTTCATTAATAATAGTTTTTGAAGCACAAAAAATATGTTTTTTTATATTCTGGGAGTTAATAGTAAAACCTAAGATTTCAATCAAAATACATGAAATAATTAATTTAGGTACATATTTTAATAAATCATTTGGTGGTATACCTTCACCAATTGCTTGTGTCAGAGGATTCAATATTTTTTTAAAACCCGAATCATTGAATATGGTTAAAGGACGGCCATTCACAGTTACCATTTCTGTACATGCTTGCAGCAATGTAACTTTATCCAATTGTACATAATGACTTTTTAAGGACTGTAATCATGCCATCTAAGGGACCTCGTTTCTATAAAATATTAAAATGAAATGTATTTTAAAAATTAGAGCTAGTTAAAGAGGATTAACAAGACTTTGTTCAACTAAATCAACACAATCAGATATACCTACTGAGTCTTGTTAAGTATTCAACAAGTATTTTTTAATAGTATTTTTACAAGACTGTACCTACTATATGCATACAATTGTAAAAATGTTTTGTGGATAGGTACCTATGTAAAATATTTTGTTAAGTATTATTATTTAATAGGTATTTATTACCTTCGATGAAAGTTGAACAGTTGAATCATCTGATGGACGCTTTATATTTTGAACTTTATTATTTTTGGTATCTTCCTTAGCTTGGTCCAATATTTTTGCTTCATGGGAATGGAAACTCCGAATGTGGGTTTCCAAATTATGACTATGACGTCCTTTCATGAGTGGTTTACGACACCCTTGAACGGTGCAAGTCGATTCATCTTTTTGGTGGTTGTAATCAAAAAACAACTTACTAACGGGATTGGTTGTCTTTCTGCCCATTTTATTAAAATTTAAAGTTATAGTTTATAACACGTATAAGAGTAATGAATAAAAACTCGCGCACTGCACAAAACAATATTAATAATATTATTTAACAATTATTAACACTGAGCAACAACAATAGGTCCGCGCTGTCTGCGATATAACGATTCAGTACTGCACGCAGCACTGCGGTGGTAATAATGATATTATATAATATTATTATTATTAAATTTGTTGAATTTATTCTAAATTTATTTTTGGATTTTAGATTATAGATAATATGTTTTGTTTATAACTTTATGGCTTGTGCAATGTCAAGATAACTTGTCTGATCGATAGCTTACGTTTATTTTCATACTATTTAGTATTTTAAAACTACTAAAGTCTAAAAGAAATGAATACCAACATAGCAGCTGCCGAGCTGGCGTAATTATTAATAATATTATACTCTAAGATATTATGACTTTTTATATATATAACTATATAAGATACTGTAATGATTTTACTAGTTTTACTAGTTATTATTAGATCATGTAGGTATAACCATGTTTAAATAATATTGTCTGTTTGCCTTATCGCCGTGCGTCGGGCCGACCATGACGGCAACTTTACTAATTATTAATTACTTATAATTTTTCATTTATTACATTATATTTATAGTTTTCATATATCGTTATCGTCGTGCCTCTATCATGACGACGAATAACTAGTAATATATTATTAATATTCAGTCCATTTTTAATCACCCGCATAGTTCGACGAGTACGGCGAATTGTTATAAATATATTTTACGATTTTAAAATATTTGATTCTGTTTTTTTTTTTTGAATATTTTAAGATTTCGTCATTTCGATATTAATAACCGGTATTAATTTTTTTCGATTTTGTTTTCAATTTTGAATACCGGTATTGTATTTTTGAGGTTTTGATTTCGATATTAATAACCGGTATTAATTTTTTTCGATTTCGTTTTCAATTTTGAATACCGGTATCGTATTTTTAAGGTTTCGATTTCGATTTTGATTTCGATATCGGTCTTTTAACGGTTTTAACCGGTATTCAAAACCGATTTCAAAACCGATTTCAAGCCCTGGTATTATTCCTTTTTTTAATTAGACTTTACTGTTGATTAAGTAATTTATTTATTCACATATTATGTTCTATACATACAATGACATTTTCTAAAGAAATGTTCTCTGTATAAATGAACTTAATCTACTGCAGTACTAATGCCTAATAGTAAAGTAAATTACAAAATATTAAAATTGAAGATTTTTGGTTTTCGAAAATTCATAAACCAAAAACTATGTTTCAAAAACGTTGAATTTCGTCTTTTTGAAAAATTTTAAATATACGATGGATGAAACTTATTATTATAAACAATTAATCTCCTATGTATATGATGTACCCTACGCTTCACTGTTTTCACGTAAAACAACTCGTAATTGTTTTTGAAATTTTTGATTTTCAATTACGCTTTATCGAGAACCCGTTGGCCGAACAAATATTTTTTAGAGGTCAACATGATAACCGCAATATTTTACAATAGAAACAGTTTTTAATTTTTGCGAAATATTAAAATTGAAGATTTTTGGTTTTTGAAAATTCTTAAACCAAAAACTATGTTTCAAAAACGTTGAATTTCATCTGTTTGAAAAATTAAAAATATGAGATGGATGCAACTTACTATTATTATCACAATAATATCAAAGAATATACTTAGTAATATTTTAGGCTGACAAACCACCTCCGCTCAGAATCCTTATTCGTATAAAATGTTATTAGGTACCTATATCATTGAATTCATATTAAACACCTATTTTTAAATTTAAATTAGAATTTTTCAACATTATAGATACTGCGTACTATATACTATTTAATTCATCAATTTTTGGTTTTATTTAATTTAGGCTATTTGTGGACCATCAATGGAATTCCTAGATTTGGTAGTTAGATGGCCAGGAAGTTATCACGATAGTTTTATATTTAATGGCAGTTATGCAAACAAATATTTTTCTGAAAATACTCATGGAGTAAAATTGCTGGGAGGCGGTGGTTAATATTAAATAATAGTTTTGTTTTCTGTTACCTACCTAACTAAAATATTGTTAATATTTAATTTTTAATTTTATCATTTTTGTAACTTATATATATATATATTATGCATGTACACAGAAGTCAGAAATTGCATAAGTTCAATTAGAAAATTAAAAATGTGCACACAGATTAAATATTTAAATAATATTAGAAATTTTTTATTAGTTATTATTAGTACCTTTTTAACATTGGAATGAGCATTGAAATTATTCATTAGACTTAACCGTGCAATGTTTTTTTTTGCTGTTTGTATTGAAGTCTTTGTTACTATCTTCTAATACGTTAGCCACCTTTCGGAAACAATGAAAAAATATTACGTTTTCTTCATGTTCCCAATTTAGCCCTCTTTCACGTTTTAAAATTTTGCTCTTTAAATCCATTATGTCGATTGTCGATACTCCCAAGTTTCAGATTAAAAATATCAGTCAGTAAAAACAATATTCAATTTAAAACTCGAAAGTATAATATTAATTAATAATAATTATTAATTAATATTCTGATATAAAATGATATTAAACAACTGATAAGTCAATATAAAATTTTAATAATTTATTTTACCATGTGATAAGTGATAACACCGACAATTATCATAAATATTACTGATAAGCATGGAAGAATACATTCATTTTAAGGAAAACAATATTTAAGTAATACCTACCTAACTACGGGCCACTTAAATTTTATCTATGCAGCCAAAAATTAAGTAGCAGCTAGGTGTCACCTAGCTGCTCCATAGTTAGGTATTACCTAAGTGATTTTAGGTGCACCTTAAGTGTCGGACTATGCATACGGCCCAATAAGTATATTTAAATGTTGTGTTTTGAATTTAAGTTAGATTTTATCAGTGGTAAACGCACTGACGGAAATCGAACGGTTCAGAAAAAAGGTTTAGAGCAGTCTGCAACAGTTTTTTAAAAAATATTATTGTGACTGTGGGCAGTATTATAGTCGTGTATTAATAAATCACCGTCCATCGGTGACTAAATTTATTATAGCCCAGTAAACTATAATTTTTATGATATTGATAAACATAATTTATTCACTTCTCACCTTAGATAGGTATCGCATTAGTGGTATTTATTATTATTTGACAAACGCGTTTGTCCGTATACCTCGTACGTTATGCGTGCAATGTATAATATAGTTGTAAAGTTATAACTTATAGTTGTCTAATAATTTTCTTAAATTGATAATAATATAATACCTTAAAAGCAATTATTGTTCTTTAATTTTTTTTAGTATCAAAAGATTACCCATCATGTTTTACGTCTTTCATATGCGCTGGAGCTACAACTGTAATTTGTATTATATTTTTGGATTATTGAACAAAAAACATCTGACAATATTATATCGTAAATATTTTTTATTTCACTAATGTTATAATAAGCATTACCTAAAAATTATAATCAATTTTATTCTTGCGTTTATTTCTTATTCATATTTAAATAGTAAACAAAATTTTTAATATTGAATATGATATCATAAACCTTGTCTGAGGCAAGTGTATTTTGACTTAAGATGATGTCAGTGCACTATTTGTTTACTCTCTTTGATCCACGCGCAACATAGACAAAACGCATTTACGCAAAATAATCTTTTCTTTGTTTTTAAGTGTCTAATCTTAGAGTAAAATAATCCATTACAAAAAAGATAGATAATAATATTTTTAAAGGAATGTAATATTGATTTGTCTAAATATTGTCTCAAAACAATTTAAACATCATTTAAATGTATAACAATTTTTTGTTTATTTTGAAAGTCAAATATCAATATAAAATATAAAATCGATTCCCTCAAGATGCCACACGTGCTGTCTATTACTCGATATTGAACTATCGTAAAAATCCAACATACGAACTCAGATAATGTTCTTACCATCATGTTTTTCCCCAAGAAAAACTCTCACGCATAGTTTTTTTTTTTTTTTTAACACTTCTTACAAGGCGTATTGGATTTGGATTTTTAAAATTCTATTTCTAAACCATATAATACGAATATGACCAATTTTCAATTGTTTTGGTTATTTGTATCATATTTGTCTTAAGCAACGCAATTAAAAATCAAAGTCCAATGTGCCCTATAGAGAATTATCATCTTTCTAAAGAAAAAAAAATTAACCAAGTCAGAGCATTGCTCTTCTGAGAGTATTTTTATTGCTTTAAAGCATGTTTTCAAAATTTTATACTTTTTAAACCTTTGTTGTTTGTTATTTATAAATAAATTATAATTAACTGATTTTGAGACGTTTAGGGGCCATTATTATTTTAAACTACAGTTTATCTGTTAAAGTAAACCGATTAGCAAGCCGCTTAGGTACT